CCCAGTCATTAGGATGGGGGGATATTATTGGATGTGTCAGTTACCAATAATGATTATGTGCAGTGACTACTTGGAGGATTTGGAGATTAAAGGAAGGCTGTCTAACTGAACTCAAGTGACAGGCTGTCAAAGCTGATACTAATCGAGAGGGAATGGCTTAGCGTTGTCAGCCTGAAACAGGAAGTGATGTTCCTCGCACGATCTCCGGGTGAGAAACTTTGCAACAAATTTACAAAAATGATTTCCTTAAGAAAACTGTATACAGTGATATGATGCCGAACATGCTGAAACATAGATTTTGGGTTTACTTAAAGGGGGGTGATGTATGAAGGCTTCGCCCAGCATATAAGTGAATGAACACTGTGTGCACGGCATTACTGCCACTAGATGGAGCAAGAAGCATTACAATCAAATGTCCAGAAATGTATCTTTTTCCTGCAGGATCCATCCTATGACAATATTTAATCACATTTAAAGCTGATTTGTAGCCAACCTAATAAAGATACATTGTTATGCGTTCAATTATGTTGTAAAATGTATTTAAAGTGACATTAAAGTCAGTTTTTTCCCCTCCCCCCCCATGTTAATGTCAGCACTTACCTTAAATGATGTCTCTTATTCCGATCTTCTTCTTCTTTCACGATGTTTTCATCTGTCCCTCCAGCGGTGCGGCGGCTCTCCGATCCAGCGCTGACTCCTCTCTGCTAGCAGGCACTTCCGATCCCGCGGTGTCTGCATGCGGCTGCACGTGTCCATAGACTTACCTTGCGTCTCTGCTCGTCTCCCGGCCGAGAATGCGAACTGCGAATGCGCCCGCCTCAAGATCCTCTGCGGCCGCACGAGCAGTTCCCGATTCTCGGCGCGGGAGCACGCAGCGATAACGAGGTAAGTTTAAACCGCTGTTAAAGCGTTTTGTTTAAAAAAAAAAACTTTTTGCATATATCTACTGCTTGCTAGCCTTAGATATATTCAAAAACACCGGAGGGTTTAGAAACCCTATAATACCTGTGAACTCCAAGGACTAGGGCTGGTCTCACACTATAGTGTTGCTCTAACCAGTACCAGTGCGTTTAGCACAATCTATCACATAGTGCAATGTGCAAAGTGCAATGGTGTGTGTGTTGTGTTGGCATTCATTCTGAATAGCACCCCCAATGCACTTCCCAGCAGGCACAGTATGGCAATAGCATGTGTTGCTGCACGGTGGAAAAAAAATGATGCATGTCCTATTCTTTTTCCCTGCACATATCATCGCAAACGCACCCACTAAGCGCACCTAGTATGTGGTGTATTGCGCTGTGTGATAGCGTGTGCCAAATGCATTGATAGCTTTAGTACACTGCTGTAGTGTGAATTGGCTCTTACAAATCACTTGCAGCTTCCCTTATAGACAGTCTGCGCAGGGTAGCAGGGGAGTGTCTGCGACCACTATATTAGCATGTTTTCCCTAAACCCTCTCCTAGATCAGTAGGAGACTAACCAGCAGGGCTGTTCCAATAATGAGGCTTCCAAAGGCAGTTGCCTCAGGCAGCATCTCATTGGGTCACGTGGGGGAGTTTCTAGCCAGAGTGTCCCAGGTTACTAAAAGCTCTTAGCAACCTGTGGCACTCTGACCGGCATCCCACCCAGCTCACTGGCGTCACTGGTTGCCAGGATCTGAGCGGGACTGCCTAATTCCTGACAACCAGTGGTGTCAGTGAGCTGGGCAGGCAGCTGGACAGAGCTGGAGCCAGAGGTACCGTGCAACCAGTAATGTGCACCACCAGTACCCCCGGTAACATGCATCACCACCCCCAAACTTCACCCTGGGCCTCAGGTGGTGAAAAGTGTAGGTACACCCCTGCCTACTAGGTAGCTGGGGGTCTTACTGTAACACACAGTGATCTAATCTGGTTGGGGGTTAAACTGCCAAATGGATGTTTTATTATTATAAATAAATGATCTCTCCAGGGAGTGAACATGGTTGTGGCGCCTCGTAAATCTATGGATTTATTCTATATGTGACTCATTTTGGTGCCAGAAGGTTGAAATACTTGTGTGCATTAGGTGTAATGTTGAAATTTGACCACTAGGGGTCTTCAGAGGGCATCAGACATTGTACTATTTGTGCCAAAATGTGTTCTTTATAATCTATTCTAGAACTATCTATTCTTTTATTAGTTTATTACTTTGTTTTAGGTGTTTATATTTGGATAAAGGTAAACTATGTTGGTATTAACTGATATTTAAAGTAACTTGCATTTGATTAGCATTTAATTCCTGAATTAAGCATCTGCTATGTTGATAGTAACAGCTGCGTCTTGATTAAATGGAAGGTGGAGTTTTGCCCCAACACTGCTTCCTGCTGGTCTACTGAGTCCAATGTATATTATCCTTAAGGTCCCCACACACCTTACGATAATCGTACGATAATCGCGGGAAATCCCGCGATCGTACGATTATCGTAAGCCGTGCGACCTCTACTACTGTAAGGTCGCAGGACTTTAAACTTACGGACATGTTCGAAAACCCGGCGGGTTTGTGGCATGTCCAACGATAACAGCCGTACGGGCCGGTGTGCGCAAGCGCAAACTGCCCATTCGGCATTGCGGTCATCGGAAGCCCGCCCCTCAGGGGGCGTGGCTTGCGATCATCGCAAGTACGATCTGCCTATGCAAGATAGGCAGATCGTACGTTTTTTTAAGTACCTTACAACCATGGCAAGACAAAAGTCTTGCCATGGTTGTAAGGTGTGTGCCCAGCCTTACGATTAAAGCAGAACTTATTATTAACCCTTGCACTGGGGCTACCGTCTCACTGCAAGGGTGAACTGGACTAAAATAAAATAAAAAGGTTATACTCACCTGACGCTCGGAGCTGGCCAGCTGTCACAGCACGCCATCCAGCCTACGCTGCAGCAAAGGTATGTCCCTCACTGTCCTCACATCCTATACACAATGCTTTGGACGTGAGGACTCAAGGATCCTTAGACTGCTTCAGCGGAGAAAACAAGCCGGCTCCAAAGTTCGGGTTATTATAACTTTTTTTTATCTTAGTCCCTAGACAAAAAAAGAGCACTTAACCCTTGCAACTCCAGCCCTCTAACTGTTGTGGAAGTCCCATGAGGCATTGCAAGACTGACCGGGGGATTTGTAGTTAAAGCCCCACTGGAGGGCCGGAATTGCCCAACCCTGCTTTAAATGATACCTGCACTAAGGAAAAATAAATATGACCCTTTGAAAATGTTAAGTGCCTGGCTGTCATGGTGATACAATTACTTTAATAATAAGGTTAGTGACTCAATGGGGTTCATTTACTAAAGGCAAAAAGGTAGTTCACTTGGCAAGGGGATAAGCACTTAGCTTAGTGAATGAGGTGAAGCTCTGCTGACTTCTATCATCTAATCATGTGTACGCTAAAATACTGTTATTTATTTTCCTTGCACGTGATCGGGTATTCTTTTGAAATTGAACTTTCACCACATTCACTTAGCTAAGAGAAGCTTTCCCTGCAAAATACAAATGTCTTTTTAAAGTGAACAGCCTATTAGTCAATCAACCCCAAAATACTAAAGCCAGAGACCGCTAGGTAAGTAGTACTTAGGAGAACAGCTCATGTGATGTATTGACAGGTTTCCTTTAAGGTTTTGTTGCAACGGTTCTCCTTTAAGAAAATAAACTCATACGGAGCAAGAATGTCTCCGCTCCTTTTATAAAATGCAAATCTAAAATATTAGAGAAGGGAGAAAATAAAAAAAACATCAACTGTTATATCAAACTGCAACACAGAAATAATCATTTCAGGCAAAAAAAATAATAAATAATTGTACGTGGATGTTTATGTTTCTGTAAATTTGTGAATTCTACATAAAAATAATAGTAACAGTAATAAAAACTGAAATTAAATATTTCATCTTTTCAGATTATAAAATTTCAGCTGTATCTGTATTCATTAATTCATGAATTCTCAAACAAATACGATGCCATATTTGCTTTTTTTTTATTCTCCCAAGAAATATGGCACATTGAGGCGCTGTGTGTTCCCTGTTCAAAAGGATTTGCAGCCAACTTGATACAAACCAGCATTGGCTGCCTGCTTGTCATGCAAGAAATCGATTTAAGCAGAACACCAGGCGAGTATTATTGACGCACCAATTCATTCAATTATCTACCCATTAAATGTATTTTAAAATACAGATACTAGTCTCCAAATCTGTCTTTGTATCAACTTACATTACTCCACTCACAGTTGGCAGATGGAGGGTCAGCATTGTGAGCCTATTCAAGCCAGTCTTACACAGTTAGCTGGTCGGATGACCAGTGAAACATCTTCAAGAAAAATACAGCAAGTCCAGTTGCCTTTACTTATTTTTTATAGATATACCATGACCTGGATGAATGAGAACCTTCACTGACATATCTTCAGATAATTTTTTTTGCCTGGAGTTCTGCTTTAACCCATCATTTCATGCATTGCAGCTACAAAACCCCTGTAGATGCCACATTTCAGACAGAAGGCCAAACCCTAGAGCAGCCTTACTCAACCAGGGTGCCATGGGGTGCCTTCTGCTTTCCTCAGGGGACTTAAGAATTGTGTGTGGTGTGATGCCTTTCCATAGTGAAGGCTTCTGATGTGAAATAAGGATCTGATATACATTTTGGAAGTTATTTTTTACATTTCAGTTTTCTACATTTTAGACTGGGGTGCCTAGAGATTTTGCATACTTTTAAAGTTTCTCAGGACTGAAAAAAGGTTGAAAAGTGCTGCCCTAGAGCATAATAAAGGTGGTGCGTACTTTGACTCAAATAATGATCCGCTGGGGAAAAAAATGAATAAAAAATATTAAAGAAAATTTTCAGCGGTAGCCTGCTACTTAATCAGAACCAACGTGAACAAATGTTTTAAATTACAAAATTTCAACATATATTATTTTTCAATTTAAAAATGTATAATACAGTACAGAAAATAATATACATTAATTAGTACAATGTTTTATCTTTTTTTTTTTTCTTTAAGAAAACCACATATTTTTCATTTGATCATGTAACCCACACTTAACACATTTCATTCATAGTTAGAAAATAGTAAAGTGTATATCAAAAAAATTAACTTATAGAGAGTGGACAGAGACGTTACATAGGCATGCATATTATATATTTATTGATGACAAGTAAAGAGAAAACTGTCGCTTGAAGACGTGTTCCATGTACAACTCATTGAATGTAATATTTTACGGAAATAAATTGATGTAGCAGTTTATTATTTTCTCCGCATAACAAACCCAAGCTGATAATGACCTGTAAATCGTGTTTTTCCTGATTTTGTTTTCCTATGAAAAGCAGAATATTAAAATCTGTATGAGTTTTTTTTTTCTTTAATATAAGTTTTCTTCTTTGGTGCTGTTTCCAGTTCTTGGTGTTCAACAAGAGAAGGAGCAATGTAAACCCTGAAATAGCATATATTGATATATAAGAAGTTGGGTTGTCCCTAGGAAGTAGATCCGATTGAATCTGAATGGAAAGTTATATATCCAGAAGAATCAGATGGCGTGCTTAGAAAGCTATTCGTACTTCCCTTGCATTCTACTCTGTCAAGTTGTTCCTGCTCGCTCCATGTATTGTCTAGGCCGGTCTGGCAACTGTTGGAGCCAGCAGGGTTAGTGTTTCCTGCTACCTCATCTAGTTTTTGAGATTCAGTCTTGGGAACAAGCCTTTGAGAACTCTGACTGCCCCGATGTCCATCTGTATAGAACCGCCTATGATCGTAAGGTCTGTGATGACCAGGAACGTTAAGAGTACAACTCCTACCGTGGTTGGAAATCCTCCGTAACACCTGCGGCTCTCGATCGAAGTCTGTCAGAGCAAAGTGAGTAACTGTTTGATGTTTCAAAGTATCTGGTATAAGTGAGATGGAAGAAGACCTAACAGGAGTTTTTCTCGGACTCGGAAGAGGAGTGTCGTCGATAAAACCGACCACCTCTTCTCGACTAAAGCACTTGAAATCGTCCTTGTATAGTTCCTCCAAGGTAAAATGTTTCAAAGAAATGAGGCTCTCTGATGCTTTGCGGCACTTTCGATACGGCAAGCTGGCTTCTTCGTGGTAAAACACCAGGCTGCTTCGCCTATCACGTCTTGGCAGTGTGAAGAAAGAGATGGCAGCGATATCTTCAGCTGATCCCCAGCCATGAATGAAAGCTGGTATCTGACCCGTGGTAAATATGTCCGTCTCATCGTGTGAATAGCGTCTTGTTGGAGGGACCTTTAAAGAAAAAAAAAAATGTAATAGAACAGTTAGGGTATGCAACCCTTTCACAGCTTAAAGTGACACTAAATCTAGGAGTTACATCTTAAAAAATTCAAGTATCCTAATTATTGGTAAAACTTTGCCTTATTTGTGTATCACTCGGCTGTAGATCTTCAAATCAGCTCTGTAGATCTTCAAATCAGAAGGACAGTGTCAGCTCTGCTGACACTGTCCTTCCTTCCGGAGGGTGGCTACTTTTGTTCCCCATGGTCCCTGCATGTGTTTTAAAGTAGCCACCGCACCAAGCTTGCTCCCGGGATGGACTACAAGCACAATACAAATTAGTAACCTAAACATGAGATTGTTGATCATGGGAGCGAGCTTGCAGCAGTGGCTGTAAAGTAGCCAATGCTCAAAGCTCGCTCCCATGATCAACAATCTCATGTTTAGGTTACTAATTTGTACTTTTGTTCCATGGAGAATAAAAGTAGCCCCCCTCTAGAAGGAAGGACAGTGTCAGCACCGATTCAGAGATGATTTCAGGATCTACAGCCGAGTGATACACAACTCAGATACATTTATGTTAATAAATAGGGTACTTGAATGTATTTTTAAGGTTTAACTCCTAAGTTTAGTGTCAATTTAAGGAAGTTACATTTTCTGTAGATTAAATAAAAAGCATCATGAAACATCGTGGCTTGGTGTTAGAAAGCTATTGTATTGTGAAATCCTGTTACAATGTTTTTTTTGGTAATCTGTGCTCAGTTATTCTGACTACTATTGAATGTAAAATATTTGTATATTGATAAAAAATGTTCACGGCAATGCCTTAAACATGTCAGATAATCCAAATTAATAGTGAAATCACTTAATATTCATTTTTAAGGGAGCAGATGAGCAAATTGAGGTAAGAATATTGGGTATAGATGTATTAACAATGAAACGTAATATGAAGTTATTTTCTTTTCATTTTTTAATACAAGGTCAACAACAATCTTTTGAATTAAAGAAAAAATATTTAAATTTCCAAGAGGACAAGCTGAATAATATCTAAAAGAAAGAAGGGCTTTACTCGATATAGATGGGACACATACATGTGTAGATCTCAAAGGTTTTCTAATTTTATGGCCTAAGTCAGGTTCATCAGTTGCTTTATCCTGGAGACAGACCCAAAAACATTGTATGGATAGATTTGAGCTTTTTACCGAATATAAAATAAGTTATAGTTTAAGGGCTGGTTGCTCTTAGCCTCCAATAATTCACAAAATTATATTAACCATGAGAGGGAAAATTGTAATTAGCGCACAATTTGCTCACCTCTACCAATAGAAATTTACATACACTATATGGTCAAACATCTGTGGACACCCCTCCAAATGATTGAGTTCAGGTGTTTCCAGTGAAGGGTGCTGTTAAGGCTACAGCATAGAAAGACATTTTAGACAATTGTATCCTTCCAACCTTGCGGTAACATTTGGGAAAGGCCCTTTTCTGTACATCTGAGCACCATGCTAGCTCTATAAAGCCATGCTTTGATGAGTTTGGTGTGAAGGAACTCGAGTGGCCTTCACAGAGTCCTAATCTCAACTCTACGGAACACCTTTAGAATGAATTAAAATGCCAGGTCTTCTTGGCCATTATCAGGTCCTGACCTCACAAATGCTCTTGTGGCAGAAAGGGCTCCAATTCCCAAAGAAACATTTCAAAGTCTTGTGAAAGGCCTTCCCAGAAGACTGGTAGCCGTTTATGTTCCAGAGAGGTGTATCCATGTTAATGCCAACGGTTTTGGAATGGGAGGTCTAACAAGCTCATATAGGTGCGCTGGCCAGGTGTCCACAAACCTTTTGCCATATAGCGTAGAAGGAATACTTAAAAGTGCAATTTGTTTCATAGCATTTTGTGAACAAAATCTTGAAGATTGTATATTGATAACACCAATGATTATCACTTTTAAGTAACGCAAGCCAGATGTAAAATGTTTAGGTCTATACAAAATAACGGACGTCAATGCATGCAGATTGTAAATTAAAGAAGGCACACTGGTTGAGAAAAAATCTCTTTAAAAGATGCGTCCACCTAGGTAGAGATTTACCTCAAGAAAAAAGTGCAAGTGCTCCATTTGCAAAGCCAGTTTAGTTGACTGCAAATATTTGTTCCTGCTGTCTAGCAATTAAGACAAAAAAAAAATCTCAAATGTTGAGGCACAAGGGATTTCTAACATCTTTGAACAATGAGACAGTTATTAAGTGAAGACTTGCACCTGGTTCTAAAGATAACATAACTGTATGTATGGTAAATCTGCCCCTCTGTGGACAACCCCTTTAAGTCTATGAGCTAAATAGACTTGAAGGCAAAGAAAATTTGAAGTAATATGTCCAGTATTAGGAAGACATAATTGAGCTCTAGAAAAAAAGAACTTCTGTAAATACTGGGGTGGGAAACACAAACTATAATGGATGGGTTTGAGTTGGTTGCACTTGAAGCCACTCCTTATTTTAAATTGAACATGCATGATGATTAAATAAGAAACTGATAAGCATAATTTAAGAGCAAAAAAACCACGTAATTTCAAACAAAAATAGCACATAAAACAAGAGCAGCAAAAAGTGCAAGCAAAAGTCTACATAACGGCATTCCCTTGTAAAGATGAAAGAAAAAGAAAAAAACAATAAAGAAATGAAAATAATAAACCGACGTTTAACTGAATCAGCAAAGTAATTTGTTTTTCTAACTTTGAAATTGCTATTATTTTTAAAAGTAAGGTTCATTACGTGCAAAATTGTTCTATCCCTCTGTGCTGCCAATCTTCATTTTGCTCAGCATAATAATCATGTATACTAAAAATAATAACAAGAATAAAACAGTGAGACAAGCATTAAATATGACTTGCACTTGGAATGTAGTATGAAATCCCTAGCACTAGCTGCCGACAAATACAGAACATATGATGGTGCGGGTGTACTAGATTCTATCAGTTCCGAGTGGCAAATCAGATAACGCTACAGCAGAGCTCGGGGATTAAAGACCCCGGGTAGCCAATATGCTTAAGCCTGGAACAATTTTAAAGTGTATGGAAAGGTCAACTTATTTTAGGTTCTGGATTGACTGGGGAAGGCGTAGACCCTTTACCAAGTTTTTATTGGTGTCTGTATCTCTGCTTTGCTGATTTACAATCTCTTTGTCCAGGTGACCATTATTGCTGAGACAAAAAATATGGGAAAGTCCTAAATTTTAGAGTTGCCATGAGAGCAAGAGGCAAGGGAAAATCTTCCGATGGGGACAGATTTTCTGCTGACAACTGTCCAAGATGGGAATTCCCTTCACTTTGGGGAGTTTTCTTTTACATTCCTGTTCTACCACTAGGACAGGACATGAAGGGAAAGCTCCTTAGTAGGACTTAGACAGCAAACAAATGGGGGCTTAAAGCCTCCCCTAATTTATCCTTATATAAATTTGAGCGTTAGCTTTTGCAGTTAATGAAAGTACATATTCTCGTGGTTTTTAAAAATGCCTTTTGACTACCCTTGACTGAATATTATTGAACAAATTCTTGGTGTTCTATGCATTTTTGTTGTATAAGATGCAAAGAACTTCTGCCTCAGATGGCTTCTCTTTGGGTCACATGGTGGGGCAGCGGGGAGAGCAGCATTGCTTCTCTGCTTCACAGTGTTTGCAGCGTGCCTGCCACCCCTTTCCGGCCAGAGCGTCCCAGGATGCTAAGAGCCTGGCAGGGAAATGTGTATGGGCCATACACCTCTCCTGCCCAGCTCTTAGCAACCTGGGGCACCACTTATTGCCAGAAGCTTGGCGGGATGCCAGCCAGAGAGTTCCAGGTTGCTAAGAGCTTGGCTGGACACTGGCAAGAGCGTCTCACCGAGCTTCTGGCAACCAGTGACATGACTGGTTGCCAGGAGGTCGGCGGGACGCTCTTGCCGTTTCAGGCGGCAAAAAGACTGGGGACCCTCTGATGCAGCTTTTCCATGTATATAGTTCCTTGTATTAGCAGAATTTTTAACCACACTGTACTGTCATTGACTGGAATGCAAGTCTCTACATGAGTCTTTAAAAGACACCTCATGGTTCAGGACTGGTGGATTTTACCTAGCCTGGCCTTGGGTGAAGAAATGTCACTGCTGTAGTGCCCGAGATACTTGCCAGCCCCTACACAAAGCTGAAATGTCAATTTAGAGTGGTTTGACACATTAGTGGCTATCAGGTCATATGTCAATCAAGTTTATTCATTATGAATTCTGTCATGGAATTTTGTAGTTCCATCAGTGATATTAGAAGGAAGAAGAAAATGCAGAAGAGCTTGGCTTGCCATAGTTGGCCCAGGGACTACAAGGTGGGGAACCATCATTTAGATAATGGTCATGTCCATGTAAGACTTTTAATGGATTTTAGGAGCCATGCTAAGCTCCTTCATAACTTGTAAATTCCAGCACAAATCCATATAAATGCACCATGTGCAAATAGCATAAACAGGAGCGAGAAAAGAAATCCAATTGGATGCCATTTATGTGTATTATTTTGTAGGTAGATACATAGCTACCTGGTTAGGCTAAAATAAAGACATGTCAGTTGAGGTCGGCTTTGAAGGCAAAGACCTTATAAAGTGTAGCCCAGCTTTCCTAACCAGGAAATACATTACTTTCTGACTCCTAACTCCTACATGAAAATAGGATGACTCCCTGCATCCACGGCCTATTGAAGCTTTGTAATGATTGACTTTTTGTAGTTCTAGAGATGACCATCATTGGTGGTAAGTACATTTCTAGAATCAGGATTCACAATACCTGAAGATAGTGCATTTTATCTTCTTGTGCCTCTTTCACTGGATAGATCTGTGGTATTCCCCTCTCCAGTGCAGAGATGTCATACTTTGTAATGCGTTCCATGGCCATGAGGTCACCCCCATAATTGTACTCATAGGGTCTTTCATATATGAGGTCTGAGTGAATACCGCCATCAGGACTGTGATCTATAACAATGGACAAACTACATTATCACCACAAGGAGTATACAAGATGGACAGAAAGGTAAGTAATAATAAGAAATTCCATAAGAGAAACATTTATAATGTCTTAACTTTTTCTTTTAAAGTATAAGCCCTCATGTACATGGACAAGCTTTATACTTCCCAGTTCAATGCAATCTTTCCATGGACCAGGGGTGAGGGGGGG